GATGTTGCCAAGAAAAGAGCAAAGGCAATTGGAACAGATGCAAGAAGCAAAGCTATCATCTTTCATCATAGATGAAAGATGTGTAATTACCAGGTTCTCAAATCCATGAAGCTTTGCCCGAACACTATTTGTTCAGTAATGGAGTGAGAGCCTACTGTGTAACAGACTCTGTGTTGTGGGCCAAGATAAAACGGTCATCTCTCTCCTGTGGTCCCTTCCACACCCAGTCCCCAACTCTCCCATGCCACCTACAACATTCTGTTGTTTGTAGTCATTAACGTATCTGCCCTGCAACAGAAATGTGTGGTCCTAGAGGACAGGATGGTAACTTGCCCACGTCTCTATATTCTCAGAATCTAATACACAAAAAGTTTCTTGAATGAATAATGAAGTGCATGAATAAAACATCACCAGATTGACCAACAGTTACAGTTCTCCTATGATTTCTTTGACAGTAACAGTTCACAATCAATTCTTCTAGGACCATCTGGTGTTGATTCTCTGACCACACCTCCTGAGGCCTCATCAGAGTACAGAGTCCACTGCGCTTGCGGATGTGTAATTAGCTGGTATTTCCTTTTCATGTTTCTATTTCCTTGTGGATATTTATTCAAAAACAATTTCTAATAACTTCCTTTAATAAATTTTTTCCGGCCGGGCGCGGTGGCTCAAGCCTGTAATCCCAGCACTTTGGGAGGCCGAGACGGGCGGATCACGAGGTCAGGAGATCGAGACCATCCTGGCTGACACAGTGAAACCCCGTCTCTACTAAAAAATACAAAAAAACTAGCCGGGCGAGGTGGCGGGCGCCTGTAGTCCCAGCTACTCGGGAGGCTGAGGCAGAAGAATGGCGTGAACCTGGGAGGCGGAGCTTGCAGTGAGCCGAGATCCAGCCACTGCACTCCAGCCTGGGCGACAGAGCGAGACTTTGCCTCAAAAAATAAAAATAAAAAATAAATAAATTTTTTCCTAATTTTCAAAGCAATGCAAGCCCATTTGTACACAGAAAAGCATAAAGCGAACTCTCACACTTATAAGAGGTATTTCTGAGGTCCACCCAGTCTTTCAGGGCAAGGCTTTCTGTTCTAACCACAGCCAGCCCCATCTAGAGCACTTGGAACAGCTCAGCATACTGTAGGTGTTCAATGATAAGTATTTGTCAGATGCACGTTCATGAGCAGGTGCCAGGTCTCCGCAGCCTCAGCTGCTTGCTGGGTGAAGGAATGAGCTTCCCTGGTACCGCCAAGACCCCTGAGCTCCTGGGCATGCCCTGGTGGTCGCCACTGCCCTGGGAATTAATGCCATCTCTGTCTCCCAGTGCTGCGGGTCCCTCTGGGCCCTGTGGCTATCAGGCATTTCTTCTGCATTTGAGGTCCCAGGCCCTGGGCCTTGCTGGGGCCACAGACTGTTTCTGAGCTTAAGAGGCCTGGTTTTCCGGCATTCTCCATGCAGTGAGGCTGCATCATGCTCGCTTCAGAACTGGACAGGAAATCGCCCCCTCCCTTTTTTATGAAGGTTGGAAAGCCGGTGGCCTGACCTACTGATGACCTGGTATTAGTGAAAGCTCTTTATGTCTTTAATATTTTGATGCTTGCTTTAACTGTTCCTCCACAGATCATTTAACTGTGGCTTAGCCTGAAGACTTCGTTCCTCTTCACTTTTAAAATGCAAAAGAAAAATGATTAGGAAAGAGCCTGACATGGTTTGGAAGTTTGTCCCTCCAAATCTCTTGCTGGAATGTGCCCTCCAGTGTTGGAGGTGGGCCTAGTGGGAGGTGTTAGGGTTGCAGGGGCATAACCCTTATGAATATCTTAGTGCTGTCCTCATGATGATGAGCGAGTGCTCACTCTGAGTTCACACGAGATCTGGTTGTTTAAGAAGAGCCTGGTACCTCCTGCCTCTCTTGCTTTCAGTCTCTCCATGTAATACTCTGGTTTCGTTTTGCCTTCTGCCGTGACTGGAAACTTCCTGGGGCTTCACCAGAAGCAGGTGCTGGGCCTATTCTTTGTGCACAGCCTGCAGAACCATGAGCCAAATAAGTCTCCTTTCTTTATAAATTACCCAGTCTCAGGCACTCTTTTATAGCAACGCACACGGACTAACACAGAGCCTAACCAGGAAAGCCTGCTCACAGCCCTTCTACCTCCGCAGTGAATACAGGGACCCCACCTGGGTGCCCCCCCAGGGGTGGCGCTGAGGGGAATCAAGTCCCTGAGTAGGAGTTTCTGTGTGGGTGGCTCCCTCTACCACCCCCAGGGAGGAACTGGGAGATGGCCGAGGCCAAGATTGCATCCTGTGGCTCAGAGAGAGGACAAAAGCGGTCAGAGCCTGTCCATCTTCAGGGAGCCCTCACCCATCACAGGGAGAGGCTTTCAGGATGTATGGGAGCTGTCTCCAGGCCTCCCACCCCAGCCCCCAGGTAGCAGAGTTCCCCTTTAACTGGCTCTGCAGAGTGGGCATTTGTATGACATTTCATTTTCTTTTGAGAGGTTGCACAGCCAGAAGTTTGACAGCCCCTGCCATCCAGAGAAGCCAGCAGTTACCCAGGAAGGGCCTTTTCAGGTGGCAGCACCTGGAGGTGGTCTTTTTCCCATTCAGCTTTGCAAGTCCCAGAACTCCACTTTGTCAGGACACCCAGAATAGGTCAGTTCTGAGCTACTGACTTAACCAGATCCATAGAGAATAATGCATTGATCAGAGCACCAGTACATCTGTTCACAACAGAGAATGCCCCTTCTCAGGGATCAGAACATCAGTGACCAGCATTGGGAGCTACCTGGCTAATTCCTCCTAGTATCAAAGTAGCCAAGGCCAGGTGTGGTGGCTCATGTCTGTAATCCCAGCACTTTGTGAGGCCGAGGTTGGCAAATCACTTGAGGTCAGGAGTTCGAGACCAGCCTGGCCAGCACAGTGAAACCTCGTCTCTACCTCAAATACAAAATTTAGCTGGGTGCGGTGGCACACACCTGTACTCTCAGCAACTTGGGAGGCTGAGGCAGGAAAATATCTTGAACCCGGGAGGCAGAGGTTGCAGTGAGCCGAGATTGTGCTACTACACTCCAACCTGGGCAACACTCTGTCTAAAAAACAAAACAAAACAAAAAATTGTAGCCAGGATAACACATTAGTAATCAGAAGACTGTTCAGCGGAGCTAGAATAAAATGCAAGGAAGATGGATTCAGTCAGTGGCATTTTATCCAGGCCATGGTGGACCTGAGGATTTGTGTCTTTCTCAACAACAAACTCCTCTCTCCTGCCTGGAAAGCTGCAGCTACCAAATCCAGGTAGCTCCTGGATGGCGCTGACTAGAACCTGCCTGGAGAAGACAATGTTCTTGCCACCTCCTGGCCAATTCTCACTTCTTGCTTCCCCAAAGAACCCTGCCCGTCCTGTTACTCACCCTCCTCGGCCTAGGTATAGGCTGCAGGGAGGTTAGTCCCATCCGAGGTCCCAGGAGACAATCTTCACTGGTCCAAACAGTGACTCTCCTCCCTGTTGGACCCAGTACCCTCTTTTTATAACAAATATTTTTAGATTTTTTTCGCCTCAAACTCCTGGGCTCAAATGGTCCTCCCAGCTCAGCCTCCTGAGTAGCTGGGACGATAGCCACACACCACCAGGCTCAGCTAATGTTTTTTTTTTGTTGTTTTAAAAAATTTTTTGTAAGGACAGGGTCTTGGTGTGTTGCCCAGGCTAGTCTTGAGCTCCTGGGCTCAAGAATCCTACCACCTCAGCCTCCCAAAGTGTTGGGATTATAGGCATGAGCCACTGCATCCAGCCCTACAAATATTTTATAATGTCCCTTTTACTACACTGAAATAAAATTTGTATACAACATAAACTATCTGTACACATAATTTTAAAAATTAAACAACTGTTATGAAGTAGAATTAAAAAAGAGAAATAAGGTACAATAAAACAACATGTATCTCAAAATGCAAATGCTTAGCAGGATTGTGCTAAAAGAAATAACATTGCAGGTGTCTGGATCCATACCTAGAATCACAGCGAACGTGGCAGTCACTGGGGCAGGCCCATTGGGTGTATTGTACTGGAGGCTCAAATTCCATGAGTAATGTTGACATTGCTAATGTGATTTTCCAAAGCAGTGAACAACTCCTGGAAAAGTTCTAAACAAAACAAAGCAAGGTCTTCTCTTGATGTGCACAGTAATTGCTTTCCTGGAAAATACAGTGTGTTTTTTAAATGCTTTGGGTTTATATATGACAGAGAGTTTGATTTTAGCTCAGATCATTTTGAAGACTTTTCACTTGTGCAAATGTTCAACGGGACATTCAAAAATCGTGCAGGTCACAGAGTGTGACCATCCCACACATTGCAGGTTGTCTACCATCTCTAGCCTCGGCCCACCACATGGTCATAGCCCTCCTTGAATTATTATGCCAGCCAAAAATGACCCCCTTCACATTTTCACAATGCCCCATGGACCCAAGTGAATCCTGGTGCTCCCATTCTCCCTTTCCTGTAATGAAACACAAGGGGAATTCCACCGGAGGCCTTTTGCAGAAGATGTTTCCTTAATACCTGGCAAGAAGAGACACAGGTGAATAAACAGCAGCTTTCTTTGCCTGTGGTTGTTGAATGAGAACACGATGTCTGGGGTCTGCAGCCCCCTTGCCAGCTGGGGGCAACCAGCCTGAGAAAGAGGCCAGCACACTGGGCAGGGCAGAGCAGAAAGGGGGAAGGAAATTGGAGACCCGATGGCTTCAAATGAGCCGCTGCAGCAGCCAGTCCCGGAACTGCCCTACCTCCAGATATTAAATATGTGCGCAAGTTGGTAGAGTTGGAACTTTCTGTTCTTACAGCCAAAAGCTTCTTCCTGATAAAAAAAATACTTTGGCTGGGCGTGTTGGCTCATGCCTGTAATCCCAGCACTTTGGGAGGCCAAGGCAAGAGGGTCTTTTGAGGCCAGGAATTTGAGACCCAGCCTGGGCAATAAAGTGAGACCCTGTCTCTATAAAAGAGAAAAAAAATTAAATTATTTTTATAAAGCACTTTTATTATGGCAGTTTGAAGACCCCATTTTGGGGTTTAATGCAGAGAATCTGCCTCCTTACTTAGTTTTACCTTGAGAGACAGTGAGGTGATTTGGTTAAGGACAATTTCTGGTTCACATTTCAGGTCAGCTTTCGTAGGCAGTGTAAATTTTAGCAAGTCACTTAATCTTTTGATGTCTCATTTCCTCACCTGTAAAATAGGAACAATAATGGCTTTCAAATTATAGGGATGCTGTAAGGATTAAATTAAACAAGTTAATGCAAGTAAGCACTTCAAACAGTGCCTTGCACATCACTGAGGCTAAATCAATGTTAGCTGTGATTACAGAGTATTTTTAGTTTCTTAGTTAGACTTCTTTTGGCTGCAAATAACAGAAATTTAACTCAAACTAAATTAAGCAAAAAAAAAAAAGAGAGAGAGAGAGAGAGAGAGAAGTTATTGGCAACCGAGGATACCAAGATGGGTTACAGAACAAGGAAGAACGGCTGGAATTTGTGCCCTGGGATCAAATGTAACCTGGTGCTGCAAGACAAGTGATTTCTATCCTCAGCTGCTTGTAAGAATCTCCAAGACAGCTTTTAAAAGTCCCAAGGCCTAGGCAGCACTGAAAACCAACCAAATGAAAATTTCTGGGGCTGGGATCCAGGCACCAGTATTTTTTCAAGCTCTCCAGTTGATTCAATGTTTAGCCAAGGCTGGAAGCCACTGCTGTTGAATGTCTTTGTCTGCCTCTCCTCTCTGCTTCTCTTTGCTTCCTTTCATTCTACAGAAAGCTCTTCCCACTACAGCCTCAGATGTCTATCTCAATAGAAAAAAACAAACAAAAAAAAGCGTGTTTTCATGCCATCATCCATATATCAATGGATTTGGCCTATTAGATCTTGCGTTCACCCTCTTTATTCTGATCACTGTTGCTGGGGCATTGGGACTGAACACACCCCTGAAGCCAGGAAACTGGATAACTCACCAGAAATACTTGGAATGGACACAGAGCAATTCCCTCAAAGATCTAAGAAAATTGAACAGGAAAAATCCAGATACATCATCTAAATAAAGTAAAACCAGTTAGACTTCATCTTGGTCGATATAATGTATTGTCAGCATAATTAGCTTCAGCCATTTTTGTAACCACTAAGATGTGGGCTTGATGGTGTCTTGCCTTCACATCGTTTAACCACTGCAAGTGACAGAGGCTATCACTTTGCTAGGATGATGCCTGGGTCTGTCTCTCGACTATCTTAATGGAATTGCAGGCTGTTGATTCTCTGAAACTGTTTATTCACTGACTCCCTGTCACGGCCATGGATGACTGATCTCATATGTTACCCTCTTGATTTCTCTCCATTTCACTTGGGGATAAAGTCAGCTTTAGGTAGGACTCTACTTAGTATTTCAGCTCAAACTGAAGCCCATTTTCTCAAACTTTTAGTCCTTCTCCTCCATTTTACTTGGTGATCTCCACGTTGGAGTAACCCTTGTGAAAATGCTTTGGGTTAAATTTTTTTTTTTAACTAAAAGATGATTGAAATTATACATGGAATCTTCAATTGTACTTATCCACTTGTTCTGAAGCACACATAACAGATCCTTTTTTTAAGACTGGATATTATCGAGAGCTTGTTTGGAGGTTCTAGCGGGGGAGCGCAGCTACTCTAGATCCTTGACGGAAGACCAGTCCTCTTCTATCGGGGATGGTCGTCCTCTTCCACTGAGCATGCAGCTTCAGGAGGGGCGCACGTGGAGCAGCAAGGGAGGAAGGAGACACTCGCCTAGCCAGCCAGAACAGCTGAATCAACCCTGACAATCAGTGGGATGACAGATGTCGCAGCCAGATCACCCTTACATCCAAAACTGGATATTGTTGAGAACAATAAAACACATTCCCAACCCTCCAGAAAGTGGGGACTATTTGATCAGTTGGAGGGAAGTGCATTTGAGGAGAGAAGCCACAGTAAATATCTGCACAGGATTAACATAATTCCCAGTGGAATCAAATGGCCCCTGTGGAACATATCCCTGTCCCCAAGGAGCCTGTTCCCTTCGCTCTGTCTCTGTGGCTTTGTCATCACACATTTTCTGATTTCAGCTTACTGTAGGTTTCACAAGACTCTAGTTGCACACTGAGCAGTGAATTTGGATCTCTGGGTTTCCCAACTGGCGAAAGCCACTGCTGCAGCAGGACGGAGGGCCGAAGGGCAAGCTGGGGAGGCGCTGCGGCAAGACAGTCACAGAGGGCCTTTGCCATTCTGTGCACTACCACCGGCAGCTTGGAGTGGGAAGGAGTCTTGATCTTTTGGTTGGTTCTTACGCAGACACCTGATGGGCCTCTTCCTGTTTTGTTCACTCTTTGCATAGTTTCAGATGAAGCGAAAAAGGGCCCCCGAAGGAACTTTGCTTACCACTAGAGGGAGGAACACCCCAGGCCCGTGCCGCCTGGAGGACAAGGGCCCGCAGGACAGGAAAAGATTTACCACACTTCCCCCCAGCAACCCTCCTCCCTCCAGCTGGGCAGGAAGCCACCTGCCACAGCAACGGTCACTGCTGGGGTCACACTCTTCTTGTGCATTACATTTCCAGATCTGATTTCTGCGTGAAGCCGCAGCATCCTCCTTGGTGTTCTTTGAAAGCTCTGTGTTTTTCCAGCTGTTCCACAAACCTTTGTTGGCCCGGGCTGCCTCGCACATAGCTTTCCAAAATTACTGAGGCTATAGACATTCTTTCCACCCGCAGTATCCGCACTGACCCCTCCACCATTTGCGAATGCAAATCCTTACCCCATCTGAAGAGTTTGTCTCACTTCCGGGTATCAAAAAAGCTGTGTGCGTCACTCTCAGCCCGCGAGTAGCACTGGAAAGGGGTCATTGGGCACAGCCGGGATTAACTTCCTCTATTCTGGAATTACATAGAAATAGAATCACACAGTATGTGAATCACACAGTATCTGTGTGACTGTGTTTGGCCAACATATTGTCTGTGAAATTCACCGATGTGATTGTATGTATCAATTAAGTCATTATTAAATGTGGTCATTCTTAAATATGGTCAGCAATATTTCACTTACAAACAGACCACAGTTTGTTTATTTCCTTATCAATGAATGCTTGGGTTATTTCCAGTTTTTTACTATTTTGAATCAGGCTACTATGACCATTCTTGTGCAAGGCCTCCTCTGGATGTGTGTGCTCATTTATCTTGTGTATATTCCTAGGAGTAGAATGCTTTCCCTGTAAGTGTATGCTTCACTTTATTAGAAACAGCCAGTTTTGGCTGGGCATGGTGGTTCATGTCTGTAATCCCAGTACTTTGTAAGACTGAGATGGGTAGGTCACTTGAGGTCAGGAGTTCGAGACCAGACTGGCCAGCATGGTGAAACCCTGTCTCAACCAAAAATACAAAAATTAGCCAGGAGTGGTGGTACAAGCCTGCAGTCACAGCTCCTTGGAGGCTGAGGCAGGAGAATCGCTTGAACTCAGGAGGTGGAAGTTGCAGTGAGCCAAGATTACACCACTGCACTCCAGCCTGGGCAATACAGCAAGACTTCATCTCAAAAAAAAGAAAAAGAAAAAGAAACAGCTAGTTTTCCAAAACGGTGTTTTAATATACATTTAATCTTAACAACAACAATCAGCTCACAATTGCTTATTAAGCACCTATTAAGTGCCATGCACTATTCTGGGTGCTAGGATAGAGCAATGAATAAGACAGGCAAGGTCCCTGTCAGTAAGACACATTCTCATGGGGGAAGATGGGCAATTCAACCTAAATAAACACTGATGATTAAACCAGGCATGTTTGCTCACGCCTGTAATCCCAGCACTTTGGGAGGCCGAGGCAGGTGGATCACTAGAGCTCAGGAGTTTGAGACCAGCCTGGGCAACACTGCACCTCATCTCTACCAAAAATACAAAGAGTTAGGCGTAGTGGTGCCCACCTGTAGTCCCAGCTACTCAGGAAGCTGAGGTGGAAGCGTGAGGGGCGGAGGTTGCAGTGAGCCGAGATTGCACCACTGCACTCCAGCCTGGGTGATAGAACGAGTCCCTTGTCTCCAAAATAAATAAATAAATAAAAACAAAAAAACCTGAAGATTATTTCAGGTGTTTGTATGTGGTGCTATGGGAAACGGAGTGACATGCTGGAGCACTGTGGAAGGGTGCTATTCTACTTCAATGTTCAGGGATGTTCTCTTTGAGGAGCTCACAACTGAGTTAAGACCTGAGAGACAGGGAAGATGTGGCCCTGCAGAGCTTTGGGAAGAGACTAGAGGCAGAAGGAACAGTAGCTGCCACTGCCCTGGGACATGAAAAAGTGTGGTGGTGGCCAGGCGTGGTGGCTCACGCCTGTAATCCCAGTACTTTGGGAAGTCGAGGCAGGTGAATCACCTGAGGTCAGGAGTTTGAGACCAGCCTGGCCAACATGGTGAAACACCGTTTCTGCTAAAAATACAAAAAAATTAGCCAGGTGTGGTGGTGCGTGCCTGTAATCCCAGCTACTTGGGAGACTGAGGTGTGAGAATCACTTGAATCCAGGAGGTGGAGGTTGTGGTGAGCCAAGATCACGCCACTGCACTCCAGCCTGGGCAACAAGAGCAAAACACTGTCTTAAACAACAACAACAACAACAACAACAAAAAAAAAACTATGGTTTGGAGGAGAGAAAGAAGGTACCACCCGAGCGAGGCACACAAGTCATTCATTCACTCCTTCAACAAATAATATGTAAGGAGTTTTGCTCTGTGTCAGGCACCATTCTAGGCTCTGAGGATCCAGCAGTGAACAAAATAGACAAACATCCTGCCGTCAGGGAACAAGGAGAGAGCAGGTAGGAGGGCAGGGAGGAGGAAGAAGAGGCCAGGTGAAATAGGACCATGATGACCACGGAAAGGAGTTTGGATTTTCGCCTGGAGCATCAGGAAGCCATGGAGGGGTTTTAAGCAGAGATGTGAAGATGATGTAACTGACAGCAAGGATGGAGGCAGGGAAACCCATTAGAAGGTCATGTAGTGATTAAGACTGGAGATCATAGGGTGGGATGACCACTGTGACTGGAAACAGTGAAGATGATCTGCACTCAGGAATATTTTAGAGGTTAGCCAAGAGGATTTAATAAAAGATTGATTACAGGGTGAGCAAAAAGAGAAATTCAATTATAATTCTAGGCTCTTCACCTGAGCAACTGGGTAGATGCTGGTACCACGCACTGAGATTGGGATGATGAGGAGGAAGGACTTGGGTAAGGAAAAGCAATAGTTCCTTTTCACCAGCTGTATAATGCAAATGGATGTTCCAGCAGAAATTATCAAGTGGCTAAAAGAATTAGGGGTTCATGGGACACAATGAGCCTGAAGATCCAACATTGCAAATCATCAGTATATAGGCAGACTTTAAAGCTACAAGATGGAAGGAGATCACCTAGGAGGAGAGAGTAGGCCAAGAAGAGGACGGAGAATGCCTGGAATACGCTGAGAATGTGAAGTTCCATTTTGCAGATGAGGAGACAAAGCTCAGAGAAATTACACCATCACCCAAGGTCAAACAGTAGGATGAAGCTGGTCTGACTCCAGGGTCTGTATACTTCCCCACTTCACTCTAATCCCTGAGGTTTCCGAGCTTTGCCATTTAGATGTCATATGACCTCAGCAAATTACTCAGCCTCTCACTCTCAGTTTTCTTGTCTGTAAAGTGGGGATGGATAACAATAATTATACATTCCACATAGGGCAATGTGAGCATCAAATAAATTAATCTAAGTGCTCAGGACAATGCATGGCTCACGGTGATATTAGCTAGTATTGTTACATAAGCCACAGGGTCAGAGCATGCAGGCCTCAGAGGGAAAAAGAATAAAAATGTCTGAATCTACACAACCAGGTGAGCTGGCTCCAGATGTCACAGTCAGGGATCTGTGGCATCAACCAGTGGCTGAAGAGAGTAGGTCTGTCTCAGATAGGAACTCTTACACCTGTGGCCACAGCAACAATTGGTCACAGGGTGTGGACATACCTTTGACCCCCTCCTCATGCAGGTGAACTGTGGCACTTTGGGATCCAGTCAGTAATGGAGAGGTTAGGGCTTCAGGTAGAGGACACAGTGGCTCAGGCCAGGAATGAAGCCAAGTGAGGAATGGACTTTTTCCCAAAGTGTACACAGAAATGCCTCCTACTCTACTCTTGCTGGCATTTGCTGTTTGGCCATGACTCAGGATTCCTCCACGTAGCACCTATTCCATAAAATCCACATCTGAAAGAAGAGAAGAGAAAGATCTAGTCAATATTGAATGGAGTTTATGCACATGAGGCACACACCTGTTTTTTGTGAGCACAGTTTCTTTTGCCCCCACTTCCTTAAAGTTACTGCCCGACCCACTCCCTATGTGGCTCACAGACTACAACTCCCTGTCCTCAGAGGTTGCCCAAATGATAAATGCATGATTCAAGCTGCGGCAACCCAAAATTTTCCCCTTGGGTTTTACAGTAGATACCAGGAAAACAACCTCTTCTTCCTTGGAGGTTGCAAAGCTGTAAGGACATCTGCACGTAGCTGTGCCTCCGTAGCCGCCTTTGCCCATCAGCCATGAGTGAGAACAGAGCCTGCAGAGAGGTAAAAACCAAGAGATGGAGAGCTCCGGTGGCTTCACTTGAGCCCCTCACTCGCTGTTCACTGTTGTCTGGGCCCACCCATTATTAAACTTTTTAAGATTCATATTAGTTTCCGCTACTGGTAATTGTCACAGCCTTAACTAAGATTCCCCTAACAGTAATTCAGTATTGTCAGTTAGCTTTACAAATGATGAACCTAGCAGGTTAAAAGCTCCAACGCGGCCGGGCGCAATGGCTCACGCCTGTAATTCCAGCACTTTGGGAGACCAAGGCGGGCAGATCATGAGGTCAGGAGATCGAGACCATCCTGGCTAACATGGTGAAACCTCGTCTCTACTAAACATACAAAAAATTAGCCAGGCATGGTGGCACATGCCTGTAGTCCCAGCTACTCGGGAAGCTGAGGCAGGAGAATTGCTTGAACCCGGCTTCAGCCTGGGCACCGGAGCAAGACTGACTCTCAAAAAAAAAAAAAGTTCTAATGCAAGATCTCGTGGCATTTAAATAAACTGACCACCGAGCTTATGTGGTCTATTTTTACTTTATCACCCTCCCTGTAGGGTACCTATTGGCTCACGTGTCTTTTAAAGATTCCTTTAAAGAAAAACCCCCAGCTCATGTGGCCAGGGTGTTTAGAGTCAAGGAGACACCACATGGGCAGCATTTTGCTTGGGGAGCTAGAACATCTCTAGACAAGGAGACCAAAGACTCCGAATTAAAATCATGCTGGACCAGATCAAGCTACCCTTTGGGCTTGAGTCTTTACAATTCTAGACCCAGTGAAAAGGTCCACTTGAATCATGAGTGCTTGAAGGGTTTAGTGCATTTCTAGACGCTCATGAATTCAAGCCTTCCTGGACAGAGTAAATCACTGGGTGGCATTTGTTTCATTCATATGTATATATATGTGTGGGTGCATACATGTGGTATATATATGCATATGTGTATATGTGTATATGTGTATGCAGTGTATGTATATGCACACACACACATACACACACACATACACATGTTCCAGCCTCACACACTTATTCAGAAAAATTGAATTAAAGAGATGGTAAAAAAAAAAAAAAAAAAATCAGAATTTCTTAAAGCTTCTTCGAAAATCATCTCCTGGCCTTCACCTTATTTTCTCTTGTGACATTTTAATCTCAAAGCTCTAAATTCTTTTCATGGCCCCTGAGTAGGTGACAGCCATTTGAGAACAGTCTTGTATTGTCTTGCTTTCATGTGGAAAGCAAGGTGGGCAGGTGATTTGAGGAGCTAGAAGAGGGGAGGGTACATTTTTCATGTACCTCAGATCTGGCAGTCCCAGGTTTTAGAAGCTACAGAAAATGTAGCACTTGATTAGGCTGGGAGAGAGGAGACCCAGGAGGCCCAGAACTAGAAGCAAATGTGGGTTTGAAGTGTTATTCTCGTCTCCTCTAGGCCAGTCTCTCCTCATTGTTCTCACTGCCTGAAACAGCTATTTTCTAAAGAGTAACTCTCTCCTTGCTGAAACAGAGCTTTCGTCTGACTATTGCATTCCTGTATGGGAATGACGAAATTGGGAGAGAGGACCAAGTTCCCATGCAGCCACCTCGCTGCCAGAGCAGGTAGACGCTGTGGGCATGTGTGGGTGGCGGTGCCCCTGTCTTCATCGTTGTGCTGGTGACTACAACCAGCCTCTTAGAAGATGGTAATAGGATTCTTGTAGAAAGCTACAAAATCATCTGTGGCAGATGGTAGAAGGTTAGGTTCTGATTTTTCTTATTCTACTATTATTTTTCTTGAGGAATGTGCTCATCAACGTCCCGCTTTCTTGTGCTTTATTTGGACAAAGCCACAAATTAATTTTTAATCATTTTTATCTAACCTTCTTTTAGTCATCAATTCAAGGAGCATTATTATCTTTTAGAAACAAAAGTAAGTCATTATCCAGCCTCTTCCCTCTGCCCCTCCCACGCAATTTTTTTTTTAACACTGAAAAAATGCTTTAAATTTCTCTGAACCTACGGAGATGATATTTACCATTGCTATGAGTGCCCTGGTGATGTGTGATTTCATTTTCTTATTGGCTGGGGGGCAGGGTTGGGCTATTGTGTTTTGGTTATTTTTTACTCCCTCTCTTGACAGACGTAAAAGCAAAAAATATTGTAGGCTCCAACAAAAAGAGGGGCTACCATTGGGGCATGCCCTCAACATGCAAGTGCCATGCTAAACAATGTACTGACATTATCTTATTAAATCCTCACATTAATGCTGTAAGTAAGTACTATTATTACCCTATTTTACAGATAAGGAGACTGAGACTTGTAGAAAGAAACTCGGTGTCCAAGATCAGATGGCCAGGATGTGGCAGAACTGCAACTCAAAGCCAGAGAGCTCCACTCCAAAGGCAGTGCAATGAGACGGCAGATTCTTCTGTTTTCCCTGATGAATTCTAGTTGTATTAATGGTGGTTTCTGGGCTTCAGGGGAGTTTTTTCCTAATTTCAAACTTTTGTTTGGGGCCAGATGTTAAAATGCTCTTTTATGGAAAGAGAGCTGGGCATGAGTTATGGAGGCACTGGCCTGACCTTAAACATGCAAGGTAGACCCACCATTTTGCAAATGAAGAAATTAGAGTATGGTGTTTCTGTTAACTATTGCTGCGTAGCAAACCACCCTAAAATTTGGTGGCTTAAACCACAAAACCATTTGTACTGCTCCCAATTCTGTGGGGCAAGACTTTGGGCAGAGCCCAGAAGTACCATTTGGGGATGAATCCATGTGGCATGGGCCAGGCTTGCCTGATTATGACTAGGGCATCTCTCTATGACTAGGGCCTCCCTTGTATTTGGGGCCCTGGGGTTGGCTGCAGGCCCTCTGCCCAGCAGGACAACCTGGACTTTATATGGTGGCACAGGGTGGCAAGAGAGGGAAAATAGAAGCTGCCAAGCCAGTAAGTCTAGGCCTAGAACTGGAATAGCACCCTTTCTGTCTCATTCTTTGGGTCGAAGCCAGTTATGAGCAGCGTAGTCTCAAGGGGAGGGACACTTGACTCTACCCAGTGATGAGAAGAATAGCATGTGAACACAGGGATGGCCTGTTCATTGCCATCTCTGCAGACTGTCACACACAGTGACTTGTAGTGGCAGATAGCCAAGTGTTAAACTAATATTACAGAAAATCCCACTATGGCTGCTTTCCTGGAAGGGAAAAGATTCCCTTTAGACATTATATTGTGTTTTGACTCTCTCAGCCTAACAATTAAACGTGGGAGGTATTTTAGCAGGGACAGGGGCTGGCATCACTCATCTTTTCCTGTGGGAGATGAGAGTCTCATGGGCCTATGTGACCTGTCGAGGCCAGTTGGGGGCAGGGGACACCTTCCCTTAATCTAAACAGCCTGTATATTCTCTTTGCCAAGAGAGAAGCCCAGGCAAAGAAAAGGGGGCAAAGGGTGGTCACTCCTCTGAGGACACAGAGGCAATGTGGCCAAGGATGTTACAGAGGCTGCCAAGGTGAGTGGGGAAGAGAAAACTGGCTCCATCCACCTAAAATGATCAGCCCAATCTACCTCTAGTGAAAAACAGACCAATGGCCTCATCAAGAAGAATTTAGTGATAAAGGAATCTCAGGCCTCAACTAGCAGAGCATTTATAATCATTTTATCAAGCTCGTTCACCCACCTGAGCAAAGAGCAAACCACAAATTCAAGGTCCAATGTAAAAATGTGTACCTGGGATGGAAAAGCAAGGTGGATTACATCCAGATGAAGAATAATTTAAATCAGAGAATTGTTAGAGTCAGAGGCAGCCTAGGAGATCCAATTTAGTCCAATCCCAAGTTCTGCATGAGAAGACTGAGACCCAGAGAAATGAGGTGCCTGCCAGGTGCCACAGCTCTGTTATTATTGCACTGATAATGAGCACTTAGTAAGCACTGACTAGATTAGGTGTCAGGCGTTCTGCTTGGTGATGAGAATTCTAGGTGGAATAGGACATAGTCCTTGCCTTCAAAGAGTTGACTGTCTAAGGGCGGGGAGAAGGACATGAAAAGCAATGATTCCAGAACAATGTGGAGTTACAGCATTCTGAGGGGACTGTGGGAACCCAGAGTGGTGGCCCTAGGACCAGAGCTCCACTTCTCACTCAGCTCCAGGTCCCTTGCTTCATGTCCATGAGCTCTGAGTAGAAGAAAGTTTGTTTTAACAACGACAACAAAAAAAACCCTGCCTACTGAGCTGTTCATCAGAGCTACATTGTGATTTAAAAGAAAGTGTAGTCTTACAATCTTATGTGCATTAATAAGAAAAAATCCTAACTGCGCCTGGCATTTGGGCAGATCCCAACAGAGCCTTCGCACATCTCACATCACACACAATCTCATGACACATGGCCCCACCACCAGTCCTGAGGAAGGCAGCCACCTTTCACCCAGAGCCTCTGACTTCCAACCCCTTCACTGAGCCACTAAATGAGACATATTCTGGCTGGAGCCTCTGGAGAACCAGACCAAGAATGGACTTTGCCACCAGCATGCACCAATTGGCCCTATGCCAACTCAGAATACTGGTTAAAAGGTGTGTCCAGATCTAATGAGAGCCTAAGAGGCACCTTTCTACCTGCATGATAGAGAAGCGAGCACAGACCTGGGTGTTACTTAAGTCCTCTGAGCCTTAGGTTGCCCATCTGTGCAATGGGAATCATCATCATCACATAGAGGAGGCCAGCTGTGTGTCAGCTGCTGACCTGAGGGCTTGGTTAGTCCTCACAGCATCCTGTGAATTACCAGTGATAATGACTCCATTTTACAGATGGAGAAATTGAGGACTGGAGAGCTTAAGTCTCCTTGCCCAAGGCCACCCAACTAGTGAGCAGGAGGGGTGAGATTCAGCCTCAGATGGCCTCCAGGAAATCGGCACAATTAACGCTCTGCTACAACATTTCCGAGGAGGAACTGAGACTCTCCACACACAGTCAGTCCCCTCTCTTGATTCCACCCCCTTTCCTTGTGTCTCCTGGGTTCCTGACCAGGTGGCCTCCTACTCTCTGGCCTTCTGTGGCTCTTAGGATCTGCCAGGTCCCCCTGTAACCCTCAGCGTCTGCCCCAGGAGACCTGTTTTCTCAGGGCTTCAGAGCCCCCAGAGTCCCACTAACCTCCTCAGGGCAGCTCAAGGCTCTTGGTCCCCCATCCCTCAGCTCCCACACCCCAGCAATACCACCCTTCCCTTCCAGCCCCCCGGGGAGGCAGTGGAGTGTGATGGCTTTCAGCCCGGTTTTCCTAGGAGAGAGGAGAGGAGGGGGCCTGGAAGGTTCCTTCCTCTGCTTCTGTCCTGGCCAACTCAGCCAAGAGGGCCACTAGAGAGCAAAAGCATCCAGCACAGCTGACCTTCACCGAGGACTCAGGGCACCAGAAATCTTCCAGGCAAAATCTCCCCTCCTCCTCCCCAGAAACTTGCAGTGAGTGTTGCTCCCCACCCCCACCCCCATTTTATACACAAAGAACAGTGCCCAATTCCGCCTAACTAGCGAGTGGCAGAGGGGGAATTCAAACCCCTGTCCATCTGCTGCAGCACCCACGCCCTCTCTATTTCCACACACGAGGAGAGGTAAAGGGCCAGCGAGTGTTGAGTGGCTCCAAATGTCACCCTTAGCCCAGCAGCGGTAGCCTCACAGGGAGCTTGTTAGAAATACGGACTCTCAGGTCCCTCCCTAGACCTACTGAGTGGGAGCCTGTGTTTAAACAAGATCCCAGGGGATTTCAAAGCCCATCAAAGCTTGGGAAGCCTAGGTCTGGGTCCGTAGTTCGCCACTCTGGCTGAACAGTGGAGTCAGCTCGGGAACTTCACAAAATGCAAGTGGTGCCCGGACTCCACCCCTGTGGCTCCGAGTTCATTGGTCTGGACATCAGGAATTTTTACATCTCCCAGTGATTCTAATGGACAGCCACCTCTGAGAAGCGCCAGGCAAGAGAAGGGGAAATCCTGAAGGCAGTGCGGGGGGGAAGTGGCCACCAGCGACTTGCCACCCCTCCCGAAACAGAGCCAGCGGAGGAGGGTGTGACGAGCATCAGGGAGGCGGGGAGACACAGTGACAGGACGGTGACAGTTTGGGTGTCCTTTCCGCAGGTGCGCGCCAGGGGGCGGAGGGACAGGGGTTTCCTCCTTGAGAACTCGGGCTGTCCTGCAGCCAGGGAAGGCCGCGACCTCTGGGGGTCCCTGCCCGCATCCAGCGCCCCTTGCCGAGGGAAGCCGGCTCGGCAAGCGGTGCGCGCAGGCTCAGAGGCGTGAGAGCGGGCTGGGCGGCGGCGTGGCCGGGAGCCGATGACTCACAGGGCGGGGGCGGCTGGGGGCGGCCGCGGAGCCAACTGCAGCAGCCGCTGGCCCAGCCTGCCCCGCAACAGCCAGAGCGGCTCCGGGAGGGAAAGGAGCGAGGCGGCTCCCAGGTGTGGCGCGGCCCTGGGAGGGCGCGTGCGAGCGCTTCTTTGTTTGGTGCGCGCACAGCCCCCGGCCCCAGGCCTGAGCGCCAGCCATCCCGAGCTGAGTCACGGCTGCAGAGCCCGCGGGCGGCCACACGGCCCCGCCCGGAAGGATGCGGCCCTTTCCTGAAGCTGGCGAGTCAGATGCGGTGGCAGGGACAAAAGCCAGGGGAAGGTGGCGTCTATTCTACAAAGCCCTTTAGGGAAGAGGGAAGTCAGGCCTCCCTCACCCAGTGCGAGTCCGTCACGATGGTCACCCAGGCAGTCATGCAGAAAGCCAGCTAGCGGCCGCAAGCCCTGAGGATGCCACCCCCAAGGGGCTCATTGCTTTGAGTCACCGGTCCAGGGGCTTGAGGCAAAGATCCAAGACAGACCTGTAGCAGCATGGCCCAAAAGGTTCCTCTGCTGCCCCAGTCCCATACCCGCCTGAGGTATGGGGATTCAGGCTGAGTCGGCTGACCTGCAGTCATCTGGAAGCCTTGTCAGAAATGCAGATTCTGCAGTGCTGTTCCCAGAGGATGAGATTCAGCAGAACTGGGTAAAGCCATGAAACCTACATTTAATATGTGCCCCTGGGGTTTTTTTCAGCAGGGGGTTGGTATACTTCGTTTCGCTTTTGTAGAAGATCGCATGAACACAGATGTGTTAACGTTAACCACATATGGGTACCACTGAATGACAGTGAGTTGAGGAATTTGCTCAAGGAGACACAGCTAGCAGTTGGCAGAGGTGGGAGTCAAACCCAGGGTCACCAGGCCCCCAAGTCTGTGTTTCTAAGCACAGGCCAAACCTCTACAGCAGTTCCCTAGGAGCTCCTAAATGCTTCCTTTGTACTTTTGTGTTATCCAATACCACCCGAAATAAGAAGCATCAGCTGACACTCTTCTACCTTTTGATTGTACAGGGATGTTATGGTATGTGGATCTGGATATGTTGTAACTTAAGCCTATCAGTCACTAATAAACATGAACACCCAGAAGGGTCTATTATGTCTAGATGGAAGCCAACTCGAATGGAGTTTTATATAATCTCTAGTTTAAAGGCTGCTAGTTTATCAAAAGAGGACAGAGAAAAAAAAAAAACTCTGAAAATTAGATTTAAGACAGATTTATCCCTTTGCTTGGCAAATGTCATCTTATCCTGTTAACAGCCCGCAATGAAAAAAGTTAACAAAAAATAAATTACATTTTCAACAATTCGCTTGAAGTGCAGGCACAGATGTCTCTGGGGGCAGACTGCCTTGGCTCAAATCTCAACATTTCTACTTCCTGAGCTGTGTGAACTTGGGCAAGTTTGTAACCTCTGTGCCTCGGTTTTCCTGTCTGAAAAAATGTAGACATAAATATTTGTCTTATACTTACTACGTGTTGGATATTATATGAAGAGATTCGCAGGTGTTATTTTACAAAATTCGCACTTTACAAAGGAGGAAACTGCAGCACAGGGGGCAAGGTACCAAGGTTGCCCCATCTGGGTTCAGGCCTTCTCCCTCTGAGGCCCCCCCCCACCCCGCCCTTGAATACACTTCCTCTCTCCTGATTGGCTGTCAGGCATGAGTCGTGAGTGCCCCCATGGACGCTCAGAATGGCTAACATTTTTTTGAGCAATAACTATGTGTGCCATGAGCTAAACACTTTATTTAAATTCATTCATTTAATTTTTGCTATCACCTCATGAGATGGGAATGATTACTTTCATCTCCAGCTCTCAGGGGAGGAAACGGAAGCATATATATAAAATACATGTTTTTGTTTTTTGTTTGTTTGTTTGTTTTCCAAGACAGAGTCTCACTCTTTTGCTCAGGCTGGAGGGTAGTGACATGATCTTGGCTTACTGCAACCTCCACCTCCTGGGTTCAAGTGATTCTCCTGCCTCAGCCTCCCGAGTAGCTGGGATTACAGGCTCCTGCCACCACACCCGACTAATTTTTGTATTTTTAATAGAGATGGGGTTTCACCATGTTGGCCAGGCAGGTCTCAAACTCCTGACCTCGTGATCTGCCCGCCTCGGCCTCCCAAAGTACTGGGATTAGAGGCATGAGCCACTGCACCCAGTCAGAGGCATAGAGATATTGAGAAACTTACCCAAGATCACACTGCCAGGAAGGGACAAAGCCAGAAACTACACGGTGGCAGTCTGGCTCCCGGGCCTCGGTACCTAACTGCTATACTGTGCTGCTGATGTTATATAATCACATGTATTAATATTATATAACAAGAGAGGTGGGCTCCCTACTCTCCTGACCCCTCAGAGCAGTGAGGCTGAGATTTTTCCTTCCTGTTAGCACCCTGACTTTTGGTGCAAAGGCTTTCTTCTATTTATTAACTTAGTTTAACTTTTTTGTGACAGGGTCTCAGTCTGTCACTCACGCTGGAGTGCAGTGGCATGATCTTGGCGCACTGCAACCTCTTCCTCCTATGCTCAAGCCATCCTCCTACCTCAGCCTCCCAAGTAGCTCAGATTACAGGCATGCACCACCACGCCCAGCTAATTAAAAAAAAATGTAGAGAAGAGGTTTTGCCGTGTTGCCCAGACAGGCCTTGAACTCCTGGGCTCAAGCAATTCACTCGCCTTGACTTCCCAAAGTACTGGGATTATAGGCATGAGACACTGCCTCCAGCCCTATTTATTTTTGAGGGAGTTTATGGCTTTCCTAGCCCTTGAAAATTAGTGTTTATATGGGGCAGTTCAGAGGGGCTTAGGAAAAGCCTTGGGTGCAAGGAAGTATCTGATCCACAGGGTACACGCAGGCAGTCTTGCACAGAGGCACGTTCAGAACCAGGGAAGTGCCATGAACTAGTGTAAACACTTTACTTGAATTAGTTCAATGTGGCTCCCCAGCTTGGGGTTAAGCGACGCCCCCTGGAGGCAGGGGAATGGTTTGCAAGCATTGGCTCCTCCCGGAGTACTTGGGTTTAGCCTCCACACTGGCCTGGTATCTGGCTGAGAGCCTGACACTGACCCACGTGTGTAGCAACTCTTCTCACACAGACTTGTTCCTCCTTGCCCCTTCTCTCTCCCCTCTCCTCCCCCTCCCCTTTCTACTCTAGTCTCTTGTATCTAACCTTCTCCAAACTGTCTCCTCCCCACCCCATCCCTCCAGGTAACCCTCCTTGTCTTTGGGGCCGGAATATTTGTGGAGGCAGCAGCAGTAGTGTGGGGGAGGGCAGTGAAGTCTCATTCTTATCTCTTGTCTTTCTAGTCTATTGTTATGATTAAAAAAAAAAAAAAAACCTCCATACCATGCATCCCTCAAGCCTTCCCTTTTGATTCTTGCTATGGAGTGAATTGTGGCCCCTACTCCCCCCATATTCATATGTTTGAGCTCTAACCTCTGTGTGATGGTGTTTGGAGATGGGGTCTTTGGGAGGTAGTTAGGAGTAGATAAGGTCATGAGGGTAGGGCCCTCATAAAGTAGGTGAGGTCATGAGGGTGGAGCCCTCATAATGGGATTAGTGCCTTTATCAGAATAGATCTCAGAGCTTGGGCACTGCTTCTCTCTCTCTCCCCTCCCCATCCCTACCCTCCCCTTTCCTTCCCTCCCTTCCTCTCCTCTCTTCTTACTCTCCTGTCTCCTGTCTCTCTTCTTTCTCTTCTCTCTCTCAGAGAAGGAAGCCATCTGCTACCCAAGGGGAGAGCTCTCACCAGACACTGACCTCCTGGCATCTTGATCTTGATTTTGGATTGTCTAGCCTCCAGATCCATGAAAAAATAAATGCCTTTCCTGATGTTTATAATATTTTGTTATGGCAGATCAAGCTCACTAAGACAATGATCAAAGACCTGTAAAACTCTGAACTTCTTGAGACAATAAGGATACCTCTAACAGACTTGGGAAGAAGTCCTGCACAAAGAGCTGGGGGAAAACGGGAAGAAAAACACACAGAATACCCACCCCTTCAAGGCAGGCACTGGCAGACCTTCCACTGTGCACCAGGTTCTGTGCTAAGCTTCACCTTGGAGTAACCCTGCCTCTGGGGGTGAAGCTATTATATCTGGGTGCGTATTGGCCAGCCGACCCTCCAGGCAGCCCTTAATTCTTGCTTCTCAAACTTACTTCCAAGGACGGAGAAAGATGACCACTGCTCTCACCCCACTAAAGAAACTCCAGCACTTAGCAAGCATCTATGGCCCAGAGCAGACTGTCTCTACTTCATTTTACTCTCCACACCCAGACTTGGACCACACTTGGAAAAGAACCAGCCAGTGCTGGAGGCTGCATATTGTGGATAGCAGGACTCCACTCACATCTCAAAGCTCCTCCCTGCCCATTCCCATGGTCCCTCCAGCCCTTGGGCAATGCTACCAATAGGAAGGAAAAATGAGCTGGATTTCACTTCCTTTGGTGCAGATGTGAATAAACAGAATTGGCCCAAATTTGGGCAGCAGAAGTGGGGGGAAAGGAGAAAGGCAACTGGCCAGGCGCAGTGGCTCACACCTGTAATCCCAGCACTTTGGGAGGCCCAGGCAGGCAGATCACCTGAGGTCAGGAGTTCAAGAGCAACCTGGTCAACATGGTGAAACCAGTCTCTATTAAAAATGTACAAAAATTAGCCAGGCGTGATAGCTCCTTGGGAGGCTGAGGCAGGAGAATCTCTTGAACCCGAGAGGTGGAGTTTGCAGTGAGCTGAGATCATGCCACTGCACTCCAGCCTGGGTGACAGAGTGAGACTCTGTCTCAAAAAAAAAAAAAAAAGAAGAGAGGCAACCAATACTTATGAAGCCTCTGATAGGTACCAATTGCTTTACTCAAATGCCACCAGTAAACCCCTGAGACGCACAGGCTGGGATTGTTAAGGCAACTTGCCCAAGGTCACCCAACTAGAAAAGGCCAGAGGCAGGTGAGAGGGGAGCTCCAGAACCACCCCAAACACACTGCCTCCCCCCACAGCACTGCCTCCCCGACATTGCCTTCAAGAAAGAGAAATTGAAGGACCTGGACAATTTGCAAGCTGACTGCTCAGCTTCTGGACTCATCCCCTGCATCTGTCAGAAGTCCCTGCAGATGCCCAGCCGCTAAGCCAGTGCTCTCCTCTTGGGCTGCACTTGGAACTGGGTGGACAGTTGTAAAAGAAATACTAGTGCCTGGGCCCACCCCTTCTCCCCACCCCCAGTTCCTCATTTAATGGAAGATTCAGCCTAAGCATTGGGCTTTTAAAGCTTCCCAGGTAACCGTTGCCCTCCGGAATCCATATTCCCTTCATCTGTAAGATGTGGCTGATGATGTCTCCCAAACAGGGTGGTTGTAAGAATGAAGTGTGAGGGGTCTAGGAAGAGAGGCCTGGAAAGAGGGAAGAGGACTGCTCATCGCCAGGCTGAGGCTGCAGCCACCCTGTGCTAGGTGCTGTGCTACAGCCTGGTCATTCTGCCAGGACCTATAGGGCTCCCTGCTTGGGGCATGGTGCCCCGACCCTCAGTTCATGTCTGCCCAGATCCTGATGGCTGATGGAACCCTTTGTTCCGAGAGATGAGGTTGGCACACTGTGGCCTCGATGTTTGTCGAATAAACAGATGAAGATGTCCTTTGATCTTCACAACAGCTTTGAGAAGCAAAATGAAAAAGGATTCTCCCTTTACCCCATAGAAAGGGAAGTTTGGACTCATGTCAAGGTGCTGTCACTAGCCATGTGTTCCAGAACAGCAGCATAACTTCTCAAAGCCTCTGTCTCTTCATTTGTAAAGCAGGACTTTCTCAAGATTGCCGGGTTATAGGACTATCCTGAAGAGCTGCTGAGACAACATGGGGGGGGAAACACTTCTATAAATGATTTTTTGATGAGGGAATTGAGTTTACAGGGGTTAAGTGACTTGCCCACAGTCTATCAGTAAATTGTGCAGCCAGAACTTAAACTCAGGACCAGAGAGCTCCTGGGCGTCAAACAAACAAACGAACAAACAAACAACAACAACAAAACCCCAAAACACTCAAATAATGTGTGGTTGCAGAGAAGGGATGCAGATATCTGAAGAACAGACCTGGGGCTGAGGTCTGTCCTGAAAGGGAGTTTGTTGAGTTGAACCTTGCAGGAGGGAAGGGCTAGGACTTTGGTAAAGATTTTTTGTGAGACAGGGTCTCACTCTGTCACCCAGGCTGGAGTGCAGTGGCACCATCACAGCTCACTGCAGCCTCGACCTCCTGGGCTCAGCCAATCCTCCCACCTCAGGCTCCTGAGTAACTGGGATCACAGGCTCGTGCCACCACATACCCAACTATTTTTTTTTTTTTTTTTTTTTTTTTAGTAGAGGTCTCACTATGTTGCCTAGGCTGGTCTCAAATTCCTGAGCTCAAGCAATCCTCCTGCCTTGGCCTCCCAAAGTGCTGGGATTACAAACATGAGCCACTGTGCCCGCCAGTGAAGATTTTTTTTTTGATAGGAGGAGCAGCCTAGGAGAAAATTCAGAGATGAATAAGCAAAGTATTTTGTTTGTCCACAACAGAGAACCTGAGAGGGAAACTAAGAGGGAGGAAGCAGCGGTGGGGGAAGAACATTTGCCATTTCCAGAGGACACTGCTGCCAGGAGAGGGGCTCTCTGCAGCCGTGAGAGCCATGGAGAAGGGCCTCCCCAGCTCACAGCACAGGAGGAGGGGAGTCAGAGATGCTCTGCGAGCAAGCTGCCCTGGAGGCACACTAGACAGGGAAGGGGCCGGGCATCACTGACCACCTGTCACATCACCTGTGATCACAGTAGGATCGGGTGAAGGCCTTATACCCCCTGGTGTGATTGTCATTTTCCACCCCATTGTACAGGTGAGGCTCAGAGAGTTAGGTCACTGGCCACTTCCTAGAGTTCCTCCACCCCAGCACACCCTGGTTGCTCCCCTAGTGCATGCTGGGACCCCTCCAGCCCCAGAACCCACATGTCTGCTCTCCCCAGTGAACTCCAGGGTAGCTCCATGCAGGGGGCCTGGCAGGCAGGTTGGCATTACCTAATTGCTGTCCGGCTTCTTTTGTCCCTTCATTTTTTCAGGCTGCCTGACTCTAAAAGTCTCAGACAAATGAGACTCCAGTCTTGTTCTGTTCGAGCTCCAGCAAAAGGAAGAGATCACAGGCTGTCGCCTCAATGGAGCAACAGCCAGATCCAAAGGCACAAAGCACTGGGGGCAGCGGATGTCTTTAGCGAACGACAAAGCCCAGGCCAGTGCCCTACTTACGGCTGTGACTTTTCTTCTTGGGCTCTGCCTTGTGCTGTGAGGTGCCTGGGGTCAGCATTGCAAGTGCTAGGACTTGATCATCAGCCAGCCTCCCTGGGGAGATGAGCCCTCGTTAGGGCCAAACCTCAGCATCCTGAAAACCTCTCCTACCTCAACCAGGCAGGTGTTTCTGGGTTCAGGGGAGAAGAATCTAGTCAGAGGAATGCATACTGCTGCATGGCCTCAAACAGGCCTTCAGGCCTGGGGACCGGAGCTGACTGCCCAAGGCAGAGCAGGTATAGGCTGCCCATCTGTAAAAGCAGCACTCTGCCACTGGGCTCCAGCTCCAAGGCTGTGGCACCTGACTAGGAAAGAAAAGTCCTTGGAGAGGCTGAGCAGATCTGGCCTCATCCTGTCCTTGTCCTGGCTGGTAGGTGGGGTGGATAGAGCATCCCTGACTCCCTCCTTGAACTTCAAGCATCTCAAGGGCAGGAACTGTCCCCCATAGGACTTGCTATCTCCTGGCACATTAGCATTTACTGGGGCCAAGCAGTGTTCCGAGCGTTTTAAGTATACTAATCCACTTAATCCTCACTTCAACCCTAGGAGGTGTTATTCCCATTTTTCAGATAGGGAAACTGACACACAGAAAGATTAGGTTCATAAAGCTCATAAATGGGGAATTGAATCCAGGCAGCCTGACTCCAGAACCCAAATTATTAGCCATTATTCTGTACTGAATAAGTAAATAATACATGAATATATGGAGAAAGGAATGAACGGCTTGTAGAGAGAATGACGTGAAAGTTCTCTGTTCAAAAGTATTTCCTCTATTAACAGTTTCAGGGCCTGTGAATGTGCTATTGAAATGTACATTCAGTTTTAACTAATGTGCTAGTCTCTTCAAAAATGCTCCTAAGAAATTGGGGTGACAGCAATTATTGGCCATGCTCTGTGGCCCCCGGAATGTCTAGGGGAGGCCCAAGCTCTGGGAAGAACTTAAGCTAATACATGAGGAGAAAGAAACAAGGAGTTGGGTGTTTCTCCAGAGAACGCTGCTAGTAATATTAATGATGTGGCCCAGGGACAGGAACACAGGCTGTGAAGCCTCTGAGCTGGGTGTGTCTCTCACTGGCTTTGGGGCCTGGGGCGAGTCATGCGGCCTCCGTGAGCTCCAGTGGCCCCGTCTGCCAGGGAAATGCTGGTCCCTACCTGACAGCTTATGGTTAAATAAGCTATTGTTGTTAATGCATCTGGCACAGGATAGATGGTCAATAAATGGTAGCTGCTATTGTTATTACACAGATTATAGGCAAAAAACTCAAGACAGTAATGATCAACAGTCTGAGCCCCCTTCTTAAAGTGATGCTTGCACTGGTGACCGTATTTCTGGTCTCCTGGACACTCCAGTCATGATACTCCAAGGGCAATAGCTTCTTCTCCCAGTGTCTTTCCTGGTTGTCTCCATCCCTTCTCCTGCCACTGCCTTGGCCTGGGTTCCCACTACCTGTCACCAGGACTCAGTCGAGTCTGAGAGATTGAGAGCATCTGTGGTAAAGCCAGCTGGAGGGAGTCCTGCTAATCAACCACCTCTGCTAAGCAGCCACCTCGGCTAAGCAGTCACCTCTTCCTGTGTCCTCATCTTCTGGCTTCAACTCTGCCACTTGGTGCTCCAGCTTCTCTTCACTCCCCACCCCCTTTTCTCACTCTTCTCTCTCTGATCATTCCATGGGTCTTTTTGGTTTTGGTTGAGCTCTAATTACATTCCTTAGCAAGAGGCAATGAAGACAGCTTCTCTCCTGCAAGTGCTCATCAAATGGTTGTGCACAATAAACTTGGACAAGAGATAAAAAGAAGCCTGGCCCCTGGGGACAGGGATGGCGCAGTAGGAGAACCCCTCATGCAGCAAGTACTCCGACGATGCAAAGTGAAGTTTTGCAAACTTGCCATGTGTCCTGGCATAATGCCATTTGTCCATCTGCCACACCAGAACAGAAATTCGTCGTTCTGAGCACATGGAAGCTGAGAAGGAGGTTGGAGGCAACAAGTGCTTAATGAAAATAACCATGAAGGTCCTGGTCATTCACTCTGCCAAGGACTAATAATAATAACTAGCCTTTAGGGAGGGGGTCATAGTTTACTCCTCTCAAAAACTCTCACTTGAACCTCATGACCACCCCACGAGGTAGAGAGAGAAATGGTATCATTAAGCCCTTTTCAGATGAGGAAAGTGAAGTCTTGAGAG